CTTGTTTTCTTAATTTTGAAATAGGGGATACGTATCCTCTTACTTATGAATTTTTCCCTTAAATTAATTAAATTGAAAAATAGACTTTAAACTAATTGAAATAGTTACCACATATTTTATGCATCCAAAAAGTCCAAACTCCCAAAATGTTCAGCATCCCCAATTCCCATTCCAATTCCAATTCAAAAGAGAAAATCTTCTTCCCTATCTCTGTCTCCTCTATGTCGTCTTCGCCTTAGGGTTTCGGCCATTGTAGGTGTAAATGAAACACAACGAACTCCGTAACTACAACAATAATTGTTCTTCAGTAAATGTCCCTTTCTTCCTCCATATATATACACATGTATGCAAGCGTGTGCGTATGTAATTAACTATTTCGATATGTTTTGATTATTATCGATGTGGTGTTCATATCTGTAGTCTAGATTCATTCATGGTTTGAGGTTGTTGGCATTTATTATGGAGGATGTTGCGAAGAAGTAAGTCTAGAATCTTGACTAGCTTTCTGTACATGTGAATCATGCTTAAAAATTCTTGTATAATTTGATCACTGTTGTGGCTTTGCTAGGATAATGTTATTCTCAGATGAATTGTCATATTTCAAGATTTTTCTCTTATTATGCCACATTTTGAGCTGATGATGTGAATTACCATTTCAGGTATTGTTGAAGATAATAGTTCAAGGAAAGATGTTAGATTTTCTTGTGTTGACTGTTGGTGAATTCACTTGATCTTGCCTGCCAGATTTTCAGCATTATTTCCTGGGAATAACTTGCAATTTTCTGCGTCTCTTGGTTTGGGGACTGCCATGCCTTTTAACTTTTGTCACTTTTCTGTATTTGTGTTTTAAATGTGTAAGGATTATGAAAGTGAAATGCAATTTGTAGTTATCATCCAACAAATATTGTATGGGGTAGTTGCAAATAGATGTTTTCAATGAGTAAATCTCCTTATAGTATCATAATAGTTTNCACTTATTTTTGTTTTCTAGCAGTTTTGATTGAATTTTGGTTGGAAATTAGAGAGAGAATTGAGGGTTGGGTGAGAAGAAAAGTTGTGAATGAATGGTTTGTTACTTTTTCAATTGGTGTTTTATCACTTTTTTCGAATATTTGCAGTTTTTTTTTAACTTTTGTCACCTTTTTTTTTTTTTAATTCATGTCACATTTTTAGTGTTTGTTACTTTTTTTTATTACCTTTTTTTATTGTCACTTTTTTTTCTTATCACTTTAATAAAATTTGTCACTTTTTTTTAGTAACAAACATCACTTTTTAATCAGCATATGGATTGATGCTATTTTTGTATTTGTCACTTTTTTTTGAGTTTATCACTTTTTTGAGTTTGTATCACTTTTTTAGAGTGTGTGTGTGTCACTTTTTTTTAATTTTGTCACTTTTTTTGAGTTTATTTTTTTTAAAAGTGGTATTGTGTCACTTTTTCATTTTACACAGTATTTTTTACTTTCTAAAAACCTTTCATATGATTTTTCAAAATAAGGGTATTTTTGTAAGTACCCCTTTATTTTTTAAGAGAAAAATTCATAACCCAGATATTAAGTTTGCCCGACTTCACTTCTCAGATGAGAGGTTTGTAATTTCAAAAATCAGATGTTTATATATGTATAACTGATTTTGTTAATATTCAATTTCCTGAAATCAAGCTTCCACTTACATATGAAATCGGGCTCCCTAAAATACAAATTTCACCTCCCTAGAAAGATAAATTCATCACCAAGAAGCTAAAATTCATAGAATTGTATCATAATTTCATCTATCGTCCCCAGAATCTGGTATATTGGTGATTATTGAAAAAAACCGATTACAAATGTAGAATATCAGTCACAGTGAGTAGAATTTTTGGCAGATTATCTAATTTAGCTTCAATTCGAACAATCGGCCGATGTCAATGGAGTGTAAATTTGATTCGAATGTTTGATTTATTATCAGATTATTTTAAATTTCATAAATTTTTGGCGGCGTGATTTAAACTACTTGTAAATGTTACATGTGATGTTGATCTAATGACCTGGTACTAGTTTTCTTAAATTTGTGACATTTGGACATTGATTTGTTAACTGTGCTATTGATCCAATGGCCTTGACCAATTCTCTTTAGATCCGTGACTTGTAGACATTAATCTGCTACCCATGTAAAATGATCTATAACATGTGAATTGTTACGTGTGACCTATAACATAAGAACTGTGACCTGCAAACTTGAATATGTGACTGTTATTAGTGTACAAAGACATGTGACATTTGATTTGTGACCATTTAATATTGATATGTTACATGTTGACATTAATATATGACCTATACATTATGACGTGTAAATGATAATCTGGCTATAATCTGTGACTTGTTAATTATAACTCGTGATCTGTGACATGTGACAAGTGCACGACCTATAATATATGAACTGTGACCTGTGAACTTGAATCTGTGACCGGTTATTAGTGTATAAAGACATGTGACATCTGACTTATGACCTTTAGTATTGATATGTGGCCTATACATTATGACATGTGAATGATAATCTGGGCCTATGAATTGTAACACGTAACTTGTTAATTATAACCTGTGATCTGTGACCTGTGACAAGTGCACAAAAGACATATGACATGTTATAATTCACATGCCACAGGTCATCGTGAATGTCACAGATCAATGTTCACATGTTACATACTAAATAAAATTGGTCACATATCACTGATTTATGTTCACAGTCACACTGCATGGGTCATATGTCATATTATACACTCCATGAATATGTGACTACTGCCAACAACGGCATCACTATTTGCAAATCGTCACTAGTCTACCACCATCGACACCATGACCACTCCAACAACAAAATAGAGAGAGAAGCGATGATTTTAATTTTAACCACCAATCACCAACAAAAACCACAAAAAATATAACAATCAGAAGCCTAACATTCCTCAAATTAGAAGCCCAGAAAATCAATGGCAAAAGATATTAAATTGGAAGCCCATCACTCATGTAATCCTCCAGTTTAATTCAACAACCCATTTCTTCAAGTTTAGTTTTCTTCTTAACACTTTTGGATCTAAAACCGTGCGACTCATAGCAGTGGATCTCTGCGTCGCCGTGCGACTCACGGCGATGCTCGCCTTGCCATCGTTGAATTAACAGTGATTTTGGTGCTGGATGAGGGCGCGAGTGCGGTGAAGAGAGAGGGAAATGGAGAGGAGGATGAAGGCTGAGGAGAGAGAGAGAAGAAGAAGAAGAAGAAGAAGAAGAAGAAGAAGAGACGGTTTTGGAGGAAATTAATTAGGGTAGGAATGAAAATTATATAATTAATATATAATAAATATAAAATATCTGATTTTTGAACGGTTAAAC